TGAACGCAAAATTGAAATATTGAACGAAAAAAGATGCAGGTTACGTAGGACCTACGATCAAACAAAACGTCTTCTTAAACTTAAATTGTAGTTTATTATCATCTATTATGGACGTACGCTGTAAAATAGTAGGTATATATTGGTTAGCATAGTTACAACAATGGATAATTTTACAATGATTAAATAAAATTAAAATATAGAATATATAAATAAATTGTATTATAATATTGTCTTCCACGTGTTTACAGAAATTATATTTCACAAGCGATAGAATCGAATCGAGATTACGACAAAGTCCTACCAACACATCATCGAATGTAAAAATACTCATATTTATATAATTTATTTATTTATAATTTAATTATTTTTGTACCATGAAGCGTTGTTTATTTATTACGTATTTTTTTTTGTATTTTATAATTTGTGAATGCGCCTAACTACCTACATTATGAGTTAACTTGACGATATTAAATTTGACTGTATGCCATTTTACATTGTGTTCTTATTTTTATAATATATATAATTGTAGGTTGCTATATAACATCTAAGACATTTGAAGAACCTAATCGAATGCGATACGAAAGAGTACATTATTATTAAATGTAGTATGTAATACAATATTTTTTTGTGTTTTGAAAACGCAATGAATGCTGCATACTTATAGTATATGATGTCGTTTAAAAAATAGTTCTTAATAAGTATACCTATTTCCTATATTGTTATATATCCAGTGTTGTAATTTTTGTAAGTATATATTCAATTATAAGTTACAACCATTGATTTRTATTTTAAAATAAACATAATTTAAATACTTGAGCGTATTTATTATTGAAGTCCAAATTCCTTTTAATATATTTTATGCTTTGAAATACTACGAAAAATATGTAATCCAGATATTATCTACACGTACAATACATATAAAAATGTACCTAAAATGATTTCGTTCAAAAAATTAAAACCTTTTTTCATTAAAATATTTTCATAATATTCATAAGTTATCAGCCATTGTAGTATATATTTTTATTGAATAAACAGTCATAAATACATTGATTAAATTGCATAGCTAGTGGGGTGTGGGCATAGTGTGGGCCTATACAGTCCACCACTTATCATCATGATTCATTTTCAAAAAAGTCGAAAGCATAAAAGTATTACATTAATCATTAACCAATATTATAATGATACATAATACTCGTATATATTATGCACATATCTGATATCTATCTAATTTAACCAGTAATATTTAGGAAAAATATAGGTACCTAAATCGAAAAACTATTCTATCAATCTATAGTTTCGTATTGAATTGAAAGTTTGAGAAACTTATAGAAAATAACCTGGAATGATAAATTTGTATCTTTTCTTAATAAATATCAATGCAGCTTTTTAAAATTGTTTTAAGTATACATTTTAAAGCGTGGGTAATATCATATTATATGTTTATATGTAAATAATGTATAGGGCACCCAAGCCAGAGGCCAGAGAATACAATAAATCGTAKGCCAATTTAAGGGTGATGGAGAAAAAATTCTATAGACACATAGGATTCTATAGRTACACGGTTTTGACTTCATGGCTGAAGTTAAGTTAAGTATCTATATAATAAATATTATGTTTCTATATGTTTAGGACCAACGGATATATACTAACTATGCAACAGCAATTCGCTCAAAAACAAAATTTTCATGAGTCATGTGATCCTAGAAAGTTTAAATCAAATATGATTATGTCCTCAACAACGTAGCTATCTAGTATCTACACTTTTGGTAGGTTGACTAGGTTGGCATGAAACRCAAAACGTGTAAATATTACATTTTATACTGTTTTTATTTTCATACTAATAATAGTTAAGTTTTTTTTTTAATGTGTAATATTCGACTTAAGTTCAAAGACATTAAAACCCGGTGAAAAAATGAAAATAACCATGTATCTTATGCAACAGAATAATAATATATCGTATGTTCTTGAACCATCGATTGATGTGAAGCGAAAAGGAATCGCCGAAAAACAACTGGTCAATTATTCAAATACACCAATTAGTTATTCTCAGAATCAAAAGAATCTTCTGTGCTCGATGTCTTTTGATGTAAGTACCACGTCGGATAAAATATTCGGTTCTTCAGAGAAAAGTGATATTTATTTTGTGTTTGTGCCTTTGAATACAATATTAAAGGGTATGTCATGAATTCTAATAATAGGAAAACGACTAACGAGATAGATAATCGAGGATGAGATACTTAAGTTACGAATACAAACGAAACGAAAGGATATTTATTGAAGAGTGAAATACATTCCTGAAATCATAATGTAAAAGAAAAATAACTTCTTTGATAAGGTTGTCTAATTAARTTTTAATTAAAACATGATAAACTTTGTTATTTATCTGTTAAATTTAATATAAATACATTTGTCTACATACAAATTGATTGGTTTATAATTAGTTACTAAAACTATATTTAAATTGTATGACAGTGACTATCTATCGAGAGCTGTAATTATGATTAGAACAATATTTACTGRTTTAAGGAGTAACTAATCAAACTGCTTCGTCACTCTGGCCTGATCAGTATTAAAATATTTTTAATATATAAATAATAAATATATATATAATATGTAATATGCCGCATATTATATGTATACAGTTTTCTAAGCATTATGCCACATTAAACAAGAGCTTTGAAGAATCCTTTAGTCAATGGGGTTGTAAAGCGGAATGAGGAAGTGATTGGATTTAAAACGAAATGTTTTTTTTTCCGGTACTTAAACACCATTCCAGGTAGTTAAACATGAAGTAGTAAACACGCTCTGAAAGTTTTATGCATAGCACTCGGGCTTCTACTGGCTTTGATTGTATGTAAGTAATTGTTCACTGTCAAAATTGATACATCACTCCATATTATATAATAATATGATAAATAGGTATATGTTGTATAAATTATCCGTACCACATTTAATACTATCAAATATCGTTAAATAGTGTATTCAGAATATTCAGATGTTGATACTACAGCAKTTCAATGAAACGAGGAAAAATTATCTTTGTTCCACACAATCACATAATCGTTATCAATAATTTATTTGTATACTGTCTTATAATTTGATATGCATATTAAGGAATAATTTTATGTTTTTAACCATTTATTTTGCATATATTATTTCTGATACTCTCGTACCTATACCAAAGGTTAAAAATAGTTAAGTAGGTAATACCTGGCTTAATTTTATGATATACTTGATGTAAATCTTTTTAATGATTTATAAAAATTTTTTGACAGTAGGTATGTAATTTTAAAGAAAAGGCATTTTATTTTCATACCTTTTAAATCGAGTTCACATATCAATAAGCGAAGAAAAATAATAACACCGTTAAAATGTATGTCGTTTGAGCCCAGTTTGAGTTATAACTTCGTGACGTGTTACTAATGAAAGAAAAAATAAACACAGTGAAGTGGTACACGTTCACAAATTTTGAACAATTGTAGTATTACTTGATTAGTGAACGTTGTGGTATTGTTTTATGATTGTATAATGCTTTTGGTGAAGATTCGAGTTCACACATTTTTAAGTAACCACTCATKGACAAAAACCTCAAATTCAGCACTTTTAAAATGAATTTGAATGACATCCATGTCCAGGATTATATTATACAATAATGCGTTATGCGCCTAGGCCGGCCCCTTAAAATTTGAATTGTGCGTTCATCGCATCGTATTTCGCATATTGATGTGAAATAGAGATGATTTATTATGCTTACATTTATATAATTCAATAGAATTAGATGTATAAAATAATAGTATATAAGTATAGTATATAATTTTTTATAGAAAATAAAAACTTAAATTTGATATTAATCAAATTTTATTATAACATTGTTGATATCGTATTTGATATTTTACTATAATTTTTTATAGAAAATAACAATCACAACTATTGACGTATAATATGAGTATACAATATTTGTAATTTATGAAACACTTCTTTATAACCAAAGACTTACATATTTCAATCCCATAGACAGTATTTTAGTCAGATGAATAAAAAATTTCATCTTAAGAAAAAAATGGCTATGTAMCTACAACCTAAAGAGTCTTAAAATAAACCTTTAAATAAATTATTTAGAATAATTCTACAAAAAAATATCAGAAAAAAATCAATTACCTCCCCAGAAAGCTGGAGCTTAAAAAAACTTATATCTTATATGTTATATTACCTACCTATCTCTTATATTTTCTACATGGTTCTACAGTTGAATTATTATTGTGARTGATCCACATCTTCACATATGGGTGGCATTGTTCGCTATTCCTAAAAATTAAAAACTGATGATTGGCAATATTGATGTAGATTTATTAAGATCTTATTTTATTTCATACAAAATTGCAATACGTTCAAAATMAAATTAATACACCGCAAATAAAATATGAAAATGTCCAATTCGAAATTTTTTTAGGGCTCAGACTTTCAGCATTCAGCATATTCCTATAGCATGTTTAACCTCAATAAAAACGGAACATTCCTAACGTACAGGTGATTTGAAAGCCTGAACGAAGAATTGTAGGTTTCGTGTTAGTTGAAATTTCGAATAAACCGGAAATATTACCCGCACGTATGTAGCAAAAGAAACTTGTGGTACATACAATTATACAAATGACCTTAAAATTCATTCAAATAAAAAAAAAAATACTCAAAATAATGAAAATACATTTCATATTGAATTGATAAAATAACTTTACCGAAATGCGAGTTTATTTTTACTAATTTTGGTCATTCAGTAAAACAATTAATAATTGTGAAACGTATTCAACTGTCTCAAAATAATAATACTTGATACACTTGAAGATAAAAATAAAGGGAAATCATTAAAGGTACTTACTGCTTATTTATTTTTGAAGTAGTTTGTGACGTTTATGTATACCTACCTAATACAA